CCTGCCATTCCTCCTCTCTTCATGGTCACTTTGACACAAGTGAAGATTTCTGTCTCCCTTCCTCTCATCTCCTGCTGGTCTTGTCTCAGGCCTGTGGTTCAAATCCAGCTGTGAGTGTCCAAACACGCTTCTTGTCTGGGCACTGGGAACTTGGCCTCAGTGTCTGACACTCAAACACTCCTGGAAATGAAGCCCCATCCTCCTACTCAGCTCTGCATCAAGAGCCACAGGGCTCCTGACTCCAGGGATGGGGAAAAGCAGAGGTGAGGTGGCAACATGATGGGGAGAGAGTCTAAAGTCCTGGATTTATGCAGGGATGAGGAGGGTGGTCCACTCCGACTCTGACAGATGGCACTTGTGGGACCGCCCTAAGCTTTCTGCTTTGTTTAGTTGTTTTAAAAAAAGGAATTTCACAGTTATTTCAAAAGCAGAAAACAAGGAAGGAGGACCTGGGGCTTCTCCAGGAGAGCAGTTCCCCAGCTGGCCACACTGAGGCATCGTTTTCATCACGGGGACAGCGCAGGAGGGCAGGGAGGCCACTCCCGATCTCCACAGGCAAAACCCTCTATAAAATTGAATCAACCACTTCATTGTATTTTTTTTTTCTTACTGTAATTTCGCGGGGAATCCAAACATCTCCATGGTGCCGAAAAAGGCGAAGCCCCCCAGACGTCAGTGTTTTGGATGACCAGAAGCTCGTGCAGGTGGGGACCGTAGGGGTGGGAGCTGCTTTCCCTTGGGTGGTTTGTGGGAACTGAAGGCCAGAGTGTCACGGGAGAAAGCCGCGGGCATCGCTTCGCCTTTGCCTCGCGAGTGGAGATCCGGGAAGGGACGCCCTGGATGGATCCCCGGGAGCACCCGGGGGCTGCTCTCCAGGGTGCTGACGGGCCTGTCCGGCTGCCGCGGGACCCCACGGGTGGGTGCTGCCCTCGGGATGGGGGTGATGCCCACGGGCATCCTGCACACGCCAACTTCGCCCCCTCTCTACTTTCAGGGCTACTTTCTACTGCCCTAATTTTTGTTGTGGGACTGTAGAATCCGAGAAACCCCCAGTCATAGAACCATGGAATCATGGAATCAGCTGGCTTGGAAAAGACCTCTGAGATCACCAAGTCCAACCCTTGATCCAACCTCGCTGTGCTTCCCAGCCCATGGCACTGATGCCACATCCAGTCTGTCCTTAAACACCTCCAGGGACGGTGACTCCACCCCCTCCCTGCCCAGCCCATTCCAATGGCTGAGCACCCTCTCTGTAAAGAATTTATTCCTAATATCCAACCTAAACCTCCCCTGGCACAGCTGAAGCACCCAGCCCTCTTGTCCTACTGCTGCTTCCTGGGAGAAGAGCCCGACCCCCCCCTGGCTCCCCCCTCCTGTCAGGGAGTAGCAGAGAGTGAGGAGGTCTCCCCTGAGCCTCCTCCTCTCCAGACTGAGCCCCCCCAGCTCCCTCAGCCTCTCCTCCCAGCACTTGTGCTCCAGTCCCTTCCCCAGCCTTGTTGCTCTCCTCTGGCCCTGCTCCAGCCCCTCCATGTCCTTCCTGAGCTGAGGGCCCAGAGCTGGACACAGCACTCCAGGGGTGGCCTCACAGGGGCAGAATCACTTCCCTGCTCCTGCTGCCACCCTGTTCCTGATCCAGGCCAGGATCCATTGGCCCTCTTGTCCCCCTGGGCACACTCTGGCTCCTGTTCAGCTCCCTGGCCATCCCCACTCCCAGCTCCCTTCCTGCCTGGCTGCTCTCCAGCCCCTCTGGCCCAGCCTGGAGCTGCCGGGGGTTGTTGTGGCCAAAGTGCAGGACCCGGCCCTTGGCCTGGTTGAACCTCATCCCGTTGGAATCAGCCCATGGATCCAGCCTGTCCTGGTCCCTCTGCAGAGCCCTCCTGCCTTCCAGCAGATCAACACTCCCCCCCAACTTGGTGTCAGCTGCAAATTTGCTGATGGTGGACTCAATCCAATGGTTTGGGTTGGAAGGGACTTAAAGATCATCCAGTCCAACCTCCCTGCCATGGGCAGGGACACTTTCCACTAAACCAGGTTGCTCCAAGCCCCCTCCTACCTGGCCTTGGGCACTGCCAGGGAAGGGGCATCCAAAATTTCCTGTAATTATTGATTACTAGCAAGGATCCTGCCTGGCTCTGGTGTCCTTCCAGCCACTGAGCTTGCCACTGTAAATATATTTGTGGAGAAATGTTCTCATTCCTTAATGTAAGGTGTCATTTCTCTTGGAACAGCAGTAGAAAGAAGGACAACGGCTCTTTTCTCATTCAGCCTGAGAGGAGAAGTTCAGGGCTTTGGTGGCACCATATTAATCTCTGAACACCCTCAGTGTCACACAAACTGGTCTGTAATTTTCACAGGTAATTTTTTTTCTCTTTCAAGGCCTCCCTTGCCAGGGTTTGGGCCTCCTAATTTGTTAGGCATATAAAACATTTGTTGTCTGATAATGGAAATAACAAGTGAGACGTTTTCCTGGGTGGGGATAGTGGAGGCTTTTTCAGAGTCCGAGGCTTTTAGAGGAAACTCCATGAGTAAAAAAAAAAAAAAGGAAACCTCAGGCATGCCTTTAGCTCCTGGATGCTCTGGAAAAGCCACTTACTGTGTCTGCACAACCTTCTGACAGGAGGGGGAAGCCAGGGGAAGTTGGGCTCTGCTCCCGGGGAACAAGGGACAGGAGGAGAGGGAATGGCCTCAAGTAGCACCAAGGAAGGTTGAGATTGGACATCAGGAGGAATTTCTCCCTGGAAAGGGCTGTCAGGCACTGGAAGGGGCTGCCAGGGAGGTGGTGGAGTCCCCACCCCCGGAGGTGTCCAAGGAAGGCCTGGCTGTGGCACTCAGTGCTCTGGGCTGGGGGACAAGGTGGGGATGGGGCACAGGGGGGGACTCCATGGGCTGGGAAGGCTTTTCCAACCTCAGTGATTTTGGGACTCTATGAACTGATAAGTGAACCAATAAAAGGAAATTGAACCCTGCCAGCCTTCCTATCCCTCCCTTTCCTAATTTTACACACCATCTGCTGAAAGGTGTCGGGATTGTGTCTGCCAGGACAGCCAAGACATGAAGGTTTCTGGATCTCAGGGACAAACTGCAGCCTGAAACACAACTGCAAAGCCCTTTTTTATGCTCCAGCACCAGCAGGTGAAGGGTGACAGTTCCCTCCTCTCCTGCTCAGCTTCACTGCAACAGGGCATCACTGCAGCACGGAGCAGGAGGCATGGAAAGGAGAACATGGGAATAAAGGTTGGGACACTGGAACCACTCATAAGGGGCCTTGTTCCCTGCACCGCAGCCCGTCTCGGTTCTGTCACACATATGGATCCCTTGGACAAATGTCAGGCTTGTAGAGGACTTGGAGGGCACTGGATCTGTGGATTTCAAGTTCACTGGGCTGGGAAACACAGAATGACATGTTTGGTGTGACCTCACACCTGACTGGAACCAAGGGAAACTGGAAACTTGTCATGGAAACTTGGCATGTTTGGGGTGATCTTGTTGGAGCACAGCCAGGCTTTGCTGGCTGAGGGCTGTTGTCCTCAGCAGGAAAAACAACCTGGGGGGGCTCAATGTATATTTTACCTTGGAGAAACCACTGGGCACAGTGTCCCTGCTGTCCCAGCTGTCCCTGTCCAGCCTCTGCTGGGTTCCCCATCTTTTGGGAAAGCCTCTGTATCTGTGTGTATTCACATTAAAACCAAAAAACCTCATGATCTGCCTAAGGTAGCGTTAAAACTTTATGCAGAAAGTGAATTTAATTCTGTTCTTCGTTCAGAAAGATTCTCTGTGACTATCAGGCAGTGTGAGAGAGTGGATTAACAGGTGAGCAAACAGTTTTGTCCCATCTCTGGATGGGGCATTCTCTGCACAAACCACTACCAGGAAGATAAAGGAACCTGCCCACATTCCTTCTTGCCTGCCTGGTCCCATCTCAGCCCCCTGGGAGAACAACCCTCACTCCTGCAGCAGGTTCTGTACCTTTATTGGGATCATATTGGAAAGAGCCCTTTGGATCAGCAATCCCAGTGTTGAATAGGAATATCGAGGAGTTGTCCATGTCCCCACTCGGGAAGGATGCAGGGGAAGGAGCCCTTCAGGGAACGGCTGCTCAGGAGTGTGAGAACTGAGTTAATCCCAGCTGGGAAGGTGAGTTAGGAGTCTCAGGAAGCTTCCCCTCCTTTCAGGGGGGAGAAGCAGGAATTTCCCAACGTGAGTCACAGCATGGATGTGCCCGAGCCACCACCTAGAGATGCCCATGGGCTCTGTCAGCTCTGAACAGGTACCTGGGCAACCTGTGCCAAGGCAGGAGGGTGGTGTGGCACAGCCCTGGGATGGGCAGAGATCACCCCCTGGGAGGCATAGGGGCTGTAGGACTGATACAGGGCTCCTCTCCTCCCAGCTGCCTTTCCTTACAGCTTTTGAGGGTCCTTGAACCATCCTTTGTACACAGACAAGTGGCAAACACTTCCCAAAGGCTGGAGAAACAGGAGGCTTTTACTGGCAAAGCAAAATAATCCCTCTCTGCCAGAAAGCTTTGCAGGCAGGGCTGTTTACAGTAAGGGACGGATTTTCCATCTGGCCACCAGGACTAACTAAGCGTGATCCCAAAAGTGCCCAGAAGAGCTCTAAGAAAAGCACACGTTCCACAGTTGAACTTCCTCCTCTTCCCAGACTCAGTGGTGGGGCGTTGTGCCCAGAAAAAACCTTGGAATCCAGCTTTAAAAAGCACACAGACACGGCTCCTTCCGGGACAGCAGCTTCCCAGTGACACCCCAAGATTCTCAGGGATTTCCATGGGACTATTTTTTATGTTTGTGGTGGCCTTTCAGCTGCTCAGAGAGCGTCAACCACGAGCTGAAATGTACTCCTTGTACCGAGGGCTGACACAGTCACACCTCCTGCCCCAGGGGCTCCTTTGGGAGGGAAGTGTCCACTTGAAGGGGTGGGAACGTTCCTGGCACTGGAAATCAATAGTAAAGCACCAATGAAGAAAGGAATCAGTTTCACTGGGACAAACCCCTCCTGAAACCCCCCTGTGCTGTTCCCTCACAGGCTGCAGGCCAGCTGGGAGCTGTCTGACAGGTTCTCCAGGTTGTCCACCGTAGTGATGATGGCTTCTATTTTCTCATCTGGGAGCACGTGGGAGGCGTTGGATCGAAACTTCTTCAGGAGCGACTCCTTGCTCAGGGGCTTCCTCCAGTGCCCGTAGAAAGTGTCACACTTGCCCGTGAGGACGTCCCCGCTGTGCAGGAGCAGTGCCACCTCCCCGTACATCTTGTCGAAGTTGGCCACGTTATCCTCGGGGTGCTCCACCACCACTTTGTCCAGCAGCTCCCTCAGCTCCTGCCGGTGGATGCTGCTCTCGGTGAAGGAGCCGAGCCCGACCTCGCCGTCCAACAGGGCAGCACAGGCGTTGAACTGGAAGGAGTGCCTGGCCTGGTGCTCGGAGCTGGGGAAGGGCCGGTTGATGTACTTGGACACCGGGATCTTCAGCACGATGGTGCGGATCAGGGCGGGAGAGAAGGACCCCGCGTAGTGGACAAAGAGGTTCCTCACAGACAGGGCAGCATCCACCACCCAGTGCATCCCCAGGTGGGCTGGGAACCGCTTGAAGGCGATATCCTGCTTCTCCAGGAGGAACTCGTGGTGGTCACCGGGCGCGGGCAGCGGCTTGGGGTGATAGACCCCGTAGAAGGCGCTGAACCCGGAGCAGCCGGGGATGTCGTCCAGGATGAAGGGGTTGGCCTCCATGCCCCGGGCTGCCAGCAGAGCTGCCTCGAAGCCCAGGCGGGTGGCGTTGCCGATGTGCAGTGGCTTGGCCTGGGTGGCGGCGTTGGCCATGGGGGCCCCCGCCAGGGACGCGGCGATGCCCAGGGCGTGGCAGCACTGGGCCCTGCTGAGGGACAGCAGCTTGGCCGTGGCCGCCGCGCTGCCCATGGTCCCCACCACCGAGGGAGGGTGGAACCTGCAGGGGAGACGGCAGGAATGAGCATCCAGGCCCCTGTGAGGCTGGAGCTGAACGGTCAGCCGGTGGAAATCCCTCACGGCTCCGGTGCAGGTGAGAGTCACCTGACTCAGAATTTATCCGTCCGAAAATGAAGCATCTTTCTGGAAACTCCAACAGCGTCTCCAATAAACAATTTTGCATTTTCTCTAGGAGCAGGTGACACGGCCTGTGTCACTACACCAAACTTTCTACCCCTCCAGGCAAATCTGGCCTCATCCAGCTTGTCCAAGGGGAACAGTTCCTGGTCAGTGCCGTGCCTTGGACCACACCAGGCACTGCTGGTGAAGGGCAGTTGGCACAGGGGCTGTGCCCACTGTTAATCTGTCTGCATGGCTGTGAGCTCTTGCCCTGGTTGGTTGAGATGATGGCACTGCAGGCCCAGTGAGAGTCCTCTTGGTAGCTATTTTTGAGGCAGGGTCACTGGAAGTCACCAAATAAATACCTGGTGCTTCATCACCTCTGGCGTTTGGCTCTGGGTAGGGCTTTACCCTTACCCTGGGCTAACACCGACTTAAACCGGACTTAACCTAACATTTTGAAACCCAGCCTCACCATCTAGTCAGCGAAGAACAGCCAGTTTACCTTTTTGGAATGTCGTGAGCCTCAGTGGAGAAATGCATGAGCCTTCCTTGCACTTCCAGGCCCACGTTAAATGCCAGCAGGAAATCCATGCCGGTGGGTTTGGTGCCGGGAGGCAGCATCTGGGAAGCTGCCAGCAGGGCTGGCAGAACAGCCCCTGAGGGGTGGGTAGCAGGGTGCCAGGTGTCATCAAAATCCATGGAGTGTGTCTGCCACAGAAATGGAGACAAGGCCGTGCTGGTGGGACGCGCTGGGGGCTGAGGGAGCGAGGGCTCCTCGCTGATGTTGCTGAGTTACAACATCCCCCCACTGTCCCCGGGGGGGCTGTGTGGCCCCTCTAAAAGCAGGAGATTGCAGAGGAGCCCCTCCCAGCGACCCCCCTGCTGCCTGCAAAGCTCACTAACGCCTCTGAAGGCACCACACAGGGTGGGTCCTCCTGGAAGAGCTCCCATCTTACCGCGACTCCGTTGGTGAAGGCGGCCAGTGTCGGGGACAGCTTCACACCTGGCTTGCCATAGACAGAGCTCACGGCAACTGGAGAGTACAGCTCCTGTGGGAGGGAGGGGAACCCCGGGGAGGACCTTGTCAGAGACTCATTAAGGTTGGAAAAGATGTTTGAGATCACCAAGTCCAACCATCAACCAGCGCCACCGCCGTGTTCGCCAATAAACCACATCCTTGAGTGCCACATCCACATGTTTTTTGAACACTCCAGGGATGGGGACTCCACCACTGCCCTGGGCAGTCTGTTCCCATGGTTTACATACCTTTGTGTGAAAAAAGTCTTCACAGAATCACAGGATATGCTGAGCTGGAAGGGACCCACAAGGATCATGGAGTCCAACCCTCAGCCCTGCACAAGCCCATCCCCAGGAGTCACCCCCTGTGCCCCAGAGGATCAGCCAAACCCTCCCTGAGCTCTGGCAGCCTTGGGGCTGTGCCCACTGCCCTGGGGAGCCTGGTCAGTGCCCAACCAGCCTCTGGGGGAAGAACCTTTCCCTGAGATCCAACCTGAGCCTGCCCTGACACAGCTCCAGCCATTCCCTGGCTGCTGTCCCTGGTCCCCCCAGAGCAGAGATCCCCTCCTGGGGCAGCAGGGATGGTGCCACAACACCCCTCCACCATGAGGCAGAAGCCCTGTGCGGGCCAGGAGGTGACAGCGTGGCTGTGGCAGTGCCAGGGTGGTGCCAGGGGGCCGTTCCTACCCGGCAGTACCGCAGGGCGATGTCGAACACGTGGGTGGTGCTGCCCACGAGCCCGACCCCGATGCTGTCGAGGATCATCCTCTTGCTCCGGTGCCGGACGGTCTTGGACAAGTGGTCGGGTCGGGCGCCGTGGATGAAGGAGGCGAAGCTGCTGGTCACGGTGTCCTCCGGAGCGCTCCTGGCCACCACTGCAGCACCAGAGAGAGGGCAGGGGTGAGCCCACCGTGGGCCCCGTGCCGGCTGCTCCGCACCCTCTGCTCCCACTCAACCTGGAGGAGGACAAAGCTGAGGGAGCAGGACCCGCCCGAGCCAGGGGGGCTCGTTTCAGGTGGTCCTGCAAGGAGCAGGGAGTTGGGATTGATGACCCCCAGGGGTCCCTTCCCACTTGGGATGTTCTGTGATTCCATATCTGCTCCAGGCACCTCCTGGGGTGGCTTCCAGCAGGTTCAGCTGAAGCAGTTCCAGAGCTCAGCCCCATCCCCTCACCTTGAGTTTCCAGAAACCACTTTTTTCTGGGAGGATCAATTTAAATCCCGTCCTTTTATCTGGAGGGAAGGAAGCCCTGCTGCATTACTGGTGGTGCCCTGCTGGGAGTGGATCACGTAAAAGCAAAACCTCCTATAGTTTTCATCATTTTTGGCAAGCAGGACTAGACCCAAAGTCTGGATTTATCCAGAAGTTTCATCCTACAAGGCACTGAAGTGTCTTGGCTCAGTCATTCTCAAGCCCTGTGCACTCCAAAGGATGTTAATGCTCAAAAATGTTAAAATTCTGTTGGAAATATACAGTTTGGGACCACTGGACTTTTACATTTTAGTGACAAATTGCTTTGTTTAGATGAATTTATAATTCATGGAATTATATTGAATTCTAGAATTAGAATACAGGGTATAATTAATAGAATAATGTTTCAAATGCATAGAATTATAATTGTTATGGCCCATTAAAATTTATAGTATTAATTTGAGAGCGCACATGAGAGTAGAAAAAACATAAAATCCATTATAGGTGACATTTGCACGATGGCAAATCCATATATATACATATTTATATATGAATGTGGGGGTGCTTACCTACATGCACACAGATATGAGATGATATTAACCTCCAAAGTAGCTGAACCACATAAAATAATCCAGCTGAGTGAAGCAAAAAAAACCCAAAAAAACAAAACCATTTTGCTTCAACATGTGACAACTCATCCAAAAGCAGGCACACATGAGGCTTTGTTCTTTAAACAGAAAACATGGCAATTAATAAAATGACCATTCCCTAATTTCCCATCCCGAAATGTCATGCCCGCTGACTCAGTGTTCCTGCTCGTGTTGGGCTCACCTACAGCCCAGGAGGCTGAAACCACTTGGAAACCCAGCTGGGAATGTCATCACCGGGTGATTCACGGGGAGAAAATTCCCCCCCCTTTTACGGCGGCTCTGGGAAACGCATTCCTATAGGAATCCGGGACGCTCAGCGCTTCGGAAACCTGCTGCCGAGCTGGGGGCCTCTGACAGCACCTCCTGTCCCCCGGGAGCATCTCCTGTCCCCCGGGAGCATCTCCTGTCCCCCGGGAGCGTCCCCCGTGTCCCCGGGCGGCGGCACCGCCGCCCTCCCGCGGGAGGGAAGGGTGATGTCAAACGGGCTTGGAAAAGCTGCAGGAAAATCTGCTCCAATCACACGGCACCCCTAAAAGTTGGATTTGTTCCTTCCCGTCATCAAATGCTCTTTGTCACTTCAGCAGGCGGCAGTATTTTTTTAACCCTTCAGCTTGAAGCGTTCAGTGACTCCCGGGTTTTTTTTTCTCCCGGTGTGGCAGAACTTCATAAAAGAATTAAAGGCTCTGTCCAAGAGCAAATAAATCCGTGTGGGTTGTTAGGATTTCTCTTGTGCCCAAGTGTTCATTAAGCAACGTTCTTTGCATTTAGTGCATTAATAATGCATTTTAAAATCAGGTAATGGACCTAATAGAGCAAGAACACGTTTTAAAAGAGGTTCATAAACTTGTAATAAATTAGGAATGCATTTGAAAATAAGTTAATAAACATAATAGACCAAGAACATGTTTTAAACTAAGTTAATAAACTTATGATAGACAAAGAGCACATTTTAAAATAAGTTAATAAATCTGTAATAAGTTAGGAACACATTTTAAAATGAGTTAATAAACTTATGATGGAAGAAGAACACATTATGAGTTAATAAATATAATAGTCCATGTTCTAAAATAAGTTAATAAACTCAATGATAGAACAAGAACACAGCTAAAAAAAGTTAATAAAGATAATAGACCAAGAAAATGTTTTAAAAAAAAGTTAATAAATTAATGATAGAACAAGAACACAATTTAAAACTTACAGTAGATTTTAAATAAGTTAATAGACAAACTTATTAGTAGAAAAAATAGACCAAGGTGCTACACAGGCAAGTTCTGGTTAATTTGTCCAAAGCTGGGCAGTGCTGGAGACACGGAGAGTGATCCATGAATCCCTCCAAGCAATGCCCACAGCAGGATCAGGTGCAGTAAAGAAGCAAGGACAGAGGAATTAAGGATCTGAGCAACCCCATGGCAGCCACGATTTAAATCTCTTCCTTTTGGGGTCAAAGAGGAAGAATTTGAAAAGTCTGGTTCTAAATCAGTTAAAATTTCTGGTTTAACACGGGACTGCCAATTATTCGCTGCTTTTCTCCTTGTCCTTTAGCCCCGAGGGCACAAACCCACCCCAGGGCTCCCCAGACACGCTTCGCTTTCCAAGGATTTGGGTGGTTTGTCTCAGCCCGGCGCTTCCTTTTAAAGCAATGCCACGGTTATTTCGGGATGCCCCTTAAAAAAGGACGGGGAACTCCTTTCTGCAGAGGGATACAAACCGTGGGCAGCAGTTTTGTGAACGTGCCGGGAGCTTGCCAGGAGCTTCTGGGATTTCTGGAGGAAAGACACAGACAGAGAGTTTGTCACCGGAGCTTTCCCGGAGCAGTTTTCCTGGTGGTGCCTCCAACGCGGCACCGTGAGACACTCACAGATCAAAGGAGCACATAAAACCAACTACACACTTAAAGCAGGCACAAAATATTTTCCAAAGCTGAGTCCAGCAGGGATGCCAAGAACATCCAGGGAAATAAAGCTGCACAGTGGAAGGGGCGGCAGAGCCTTTCCAGACCTGCCGTGAGATCTCGCAGCTCCGAGAAAAACCCACACGGCACATCCCAACAACAACAACCCCACGGGACGCCACACGGGGCACGTTTGGGACACGTGGAAGGAGCAGGCAACAGGTCAGCAACTCAGTGAGGTGACTGTGAAAACCATCTGGATTTGTTCATTTTGGGGCAGGTTCCTGTTTAATGCCACGAGAATTTTTGACCGGTTGAGGAACGGCCCGGAAAGAGATGTTTCCTCCTCGGAGTGAAAAAGGAAAGAGGTGGGGAGGGTTTGGTGGGTGGAAGGGTTACCTGTAGGGTGGAGTAGACCATGCTGGTGGCTGCTTTTCCCAGCGCTGGGTGCCCAGCTCGGCGCTGCTGCGGGCAAGGGATGCAGAGGTGTGTGGCTGGAAGGTGCTTGGTGTCGGGGTTTTTATAGGGCTTCCCAAAGGCAATTTGCTTTTTGTTTTTTTGCCACTGAATTTCAAGCATGATGACATCAGCCCCTGGGGACCCAGAGGGTGGGGGGAAGAGGTGAGAAGGGGTGGTTTGTCTCTGCTGAACAGAAGGGAACCCCCCTCCCACCGGGCGTCGGGAAAGAAAAAAAGCTTTAGGACAATAACTGATGAAGTTCAAGGAAACTCCTGTCTCCCAAATGCTGCAGGTGCCAAGGGGTGAAGCAACTGGCCCTAGGCTCCTCCTCCTGAGGAGGACTATAAAACTGGGACTTACCAGGAAATGAGAGGGACAAGAGCATCCTCCCATTGAGCAGAAGTGTCACCAGAGCAGGTAATCCCAGCAGCGAGGCATTGGTGGTTTGTTTGATGCTTTTCTTGAATCCATTCAGTGTTTGGTCCTTTGGCTGAGCCTTTCATAGCTCTCCTTCTTCTAAAGCTCCAGCTCTGCCACTGAACTGGGAGTGCAGGTGTGAACTCTGGAGCTTCCAGGGGGCACTGGGGGCCTTCGCTCCCAAAGGAATGGTTGGATTTTGGGGCTCTTTGCTTTGTCCAACAGTGAAACCTGGAGGTGTTTGCCATGCTGCATATTATTTGGGGCAGAATAACAGCCTGCTGTCATACACCTCGTATTTAAAGCTGCATTTTCTACTAACTACCATGCAGACCTTTACATGTAGCAATGTGCCTCCAGCAATTTGGTGCTGTTTGGCACCAGAGGAGGGTTTTTTAATGGATTTTTTAATCCAGCTGTGTGGTGTTGTCGTGCACTGATCATCTTGCTGTTTGTTTATCCAAAGTGAATTGCTTTTCTGTTCTCTCTCCATGTTTATTTGGAGAGAGGCAGCGTTTCCTCGGAGCTGCACAAACATTTCTTATCACTAATAAGGTGGGATGGAAAACTAAGGGCAAAATGCCACTGGGTGTCTGAGAAGTTAATGGGCTGGTAGTTGTTTATGTGTCCCACGGCACGTGGAGCTTTGCTCCAGCCTCCAAAGGAGGGAATGTCCATGCACCAGAATATTCCCATTAATACTGGCCGGGTTGAAGCACCACCAGCAGCTGGACGTTGGTGCAAAGAGGAAGCAAAGCCTGGTCTAACAGAGATGGAAACGGGGTGCAGAGGGGGGTGAGCTGTTCTGGAGGGGGTGAAGGGCAGCTGTCTGTGAGGAAGGTGGTGAGTGAAGGAAGTGGCATCCAGAAGCTGCCCCACGTGGGCACAGCTCAGAGGTCACGAGCCTGGACAGGGGCAGGACCTCACATGCCACTTCTGCCACTCCCAGGGTGAAGAGTGTCAGGGGCAGGCAGGGGAAGGAGAAAAGGTGGAGGAGGCTGGTTGAGTGAGGGGTGGCTTTGGCTGTGCCCTCACTGCAGGAGGGGTTTTGTGCCGGGGAATGATCACTCTGAGCTGACCCATCTCTTTGGTACAAGCAGCTCTCTGGCAGCTCCCCAGGTCTCCAGGTGCCTCCTCACCATGGGAAGGTCTCCATCCTCATGGTTTGCTGCACTGTGGCTGTGCTGGCTGATGCCCTGTATGTGCAGAGAGCTGCCAACCCCACCTGGAGGGAGGGATTCCTGTTTGCTGCTCTGCCCCTTGTGTTCCCTCACCTTATTGTGCCACATTCTCTGTGGTGCAAGGGACAAACAGGTCCTTACAAAGTGCCAGAGGCAGCAGCTGCACAGAAGGGACAGTGCCAGAGCCAGGAGTGGTGTTATCCTCGGGACAAGGGCATATTTGAGCAGGAAACCCCTCTGGGGGTTCCCATGCAGACCCTCTTTCTCCAGCCTCGCTGCAGCCCATGACATTCCAGTGATGATGCTCCAGGGACAACTGGAGGGCTTTAATTCTTTGGTGTGTCCTCATGTTGGATGAAATAGAGGCAGGGGCGTTGCACAGCTGCTGGAATGGCCTTGGGACAGGGGCCAGAGGCTGTGTTGGCATTGGGGGTGGGTGGGTGTGCAGCTGTTTCCAACCCCGAAACCTTCTCCTCCCAAGAGAACCTCCTTCATCCTCCTTTTCCATATCTTGGATTGAACCCTCTCACATCTTTTACAGCTCTGTAGCATGTTCTGGTATTTCTCTTCCCCCCTTCTCTGGTGTCCTAGGAAGGCTGGCACTGGAAGCAGAGGGAAACATCCCTGTTGTGTCTCTACATCCTTCACAAATCCCAGATGTCTGTCACAGGCTCTAAATCCCCCAGCACAGCCAGTTACACAGAAACCACCAACAAAATGAGCCTTGGCAAACTGAAAACCACTTCTGGGAGCCAAGGAGTCACCTGGCCAGCCCATCTGCCTCCAAAAACCCACCTCATCCTCCTCCAGGGACCGACTCTGCACAAGGGGCTTGTTGCACCATGCCCAGAAAGGCACTGCCTGAGCTCCTTCAGAGCAAAACATCTGGAGGAACTTAAGATTGTGGCCCTTCTCCAAGACTAACCTTTGAAATCAGACCACTTATTTATATAGGAATGTCATTGAAAGTAATAATACTAATAAAAAAGTTCTGGACTCCACAGGCCCAGCTCTGCCTGAGAGCCCCTCGTTCCTCGGGGCCTCCTTCAAGTCAGTAGCACAGAGAGATATTTGATGTTGAGAGAGAGTGTTCCCCCCTCAGAGCTGGGATTTGGTTCATCACTCTTTCTGAGCCAAAAATTCCAACCTTCAGCACAACCAAATAATTGAATAATTAATTGTCCCCCTGGGTTCACTTGAAAGTTTTTACCCCTTCCCACGTTCGATAGGAGTTTATGTTGCCGAGCCAGTTTGGAGTCAACTTATCCTTCATCCTGCTCTCTTTGGGAAAATTGCAACCTTTAGGATAAAGTGAGAGAGGAAAACATGGGGTTTTTAGTAGAACAAGAGAGTCCCGAGAGCACTGATGTTTGCAAAATGTGTATTTGTGCCGAGGAAAACTGCGTGTTCCTGGGATTTAGGTTCATTATTATTCACATCACTATTTCTTTTTCGGGTGGTGCTCCTTCCCTCCTCCCCGTATCAATAGTGGTGCTTTCCTCCCTTTCCAAAAGGCTCTTTGGAATGGCTGAGAACAGAATACATCACTGTCTCCCTTTCCAGCTCTTTTAGGTCATCAAATGTTCTAAAAATACCCAAATAACAAGAACATCGCTGTTTTATTTTCATCTTTGTTTCCCAACAAAAAACCTCCAGAGAGAAAACTTCAGCTCCTGGTACCCAGGAGTGCAGAGGAACGGGAATGTGGGGGCTGCCTGCAAACAGGCGAGTTCATGGTAGAAATATGAAGGGTTTGAAAATAGACTATTTAGTCACTGGGGTTTCAAGAAAGGGATGGAGCTGGAAAATTCCATCTGGAAGGGAGGCTGTGTATGTGAGCGTCGTGCCTGTTTGTCTGTAACAGTGGATAAGAAACGTCCTGGAACGGCTCAAAAATACCTTGTGGCTTTCGCCTGAATGTTTGTCCGTCCACGTTGGGCTATTCATTCCTCCCCATCTCCAGCAGCCTGGACAAGAGGGGACAGGAACCATCCCCACCACCTGCAGCGCTTTGGGGCACCTAAACATGTTTTTGCCAGAACTCCTTGTAGCCTAAATGGCCTGTGTGTGTTTTTTCTGGATAGGACTCCGGAAAGCAGGCACCTAAAGTGGTGCTTTGAATCGAGCCTTTGTCTGGAGCGAGGAGCAGGGAGGCACCATGGAAACACCTGAGCCTGTCACCAGTTGCTCCCTCCTCGGGGCAGGGGCACGGCTCTGAAGGCTGGCCGGGAGCCCGAGCAGTGCCGGTCTAGACGCCGACGGGGTTGTGGGGGCGACGGCCGACGCTCTTGTTTTGTCTGGAAGGGCCATGGCGGGGTTCGCCGCCGTCTTCTACAGCGAGCCGGCCGTGCTGGGGCTCCTGGGCAACGTGGTCAGCGCCTTCCTGCTCTGCCTGCAGAACTTCGCCGTGGCTCAGAGCGGCCTCAGGCCGCGGGGGGCAGAGGACATCCTGGCAGGTGGGTGGTGCTGCTCGGGGGGACACCGCGGGGGCTGGTTGGAGGTGAACGCCCAAGCTGGCGGCACCAGGCAGGATGGACTCTTGGAGAGCCATCCCCGTGGGATGATGGTCACCGTTACTGGGGATATGTGGGCTGTCTGTGTGCCCCTGGGGGTGGCTGCTCCTCCTTCCTCAGCTGCTGCCCGGAGTCTGGTCCAAACCTTCCATGTGCCATTCCCTGCCACTTTCCTACACCCAAACTGCTCCTGGGCCTGCTCCCCACACTGAGCGTGCCAAGGGCTCAGCGCCCACACAGAAATCTGACATAAAGGCGGGAAGAGAGGGGAAGGCAGAGGCCCCAGGGCTGCTCACGGGAAGGCTGTGGGACCTGCTTCCTGCAGCTCAAGCTGTCAGGTGTGGTTTGCCTCACACCTGACCCCTTCACATGTCCCTCAGGTGTCCACCTCGTCCTGATCGGAGGCTTTGTCCAGCTCCTGGCAGGATTTCTCGCCTTCCGCAAGTATGACCACCTTGGGGGCGCGGCCTTCCTCACCTTCTCCGCCCTGTGGAGCAGCTACGGGGCCACACGGATCGTGTCGGCCGCCTACCCCTCCCCGCAGAACACCACCCTGCCCGCGGGGAACGGCAGCCACCTCCTGCCCCTCGGCGCGGCCCAGCTCTCCGCCAGCCAGAGCGCGGTGGCCGGGCTGGTGGCCTACATCTCCATCTCCTTCGTCCTCTGCTTCTGCTCGGCCACCGTCAACTATGTCATGCCCTTCATATTCGGGGCCCTCGCCCTCGCCCTGGTGTTCGAGGCGGTCGCCCTGTTCTGCCAGTGGGCCCTGGTGGTGTCGGGGGCCATCGAGCTGGTCATTGTCACCTGCGGGTTGTACGGGGCGGTGGCTCTGCTCCTCAAGGGCATCACGCAGCGCTACGTCCTTCCAGGCTTCGGGCACCCCCTCTTCAATGTCCTGCTCTTGGGGTCAGCACAGAAGAGCTCCTCCAAGGCCATTGGAGAGGAAAAGAAAAAGAACACAAAGTATGCCGAGCCGATGGCCCTGGGCAACATCTGCGACACGGTGTCGCCCTTTATCTTTGCCTTTTACTTCTTTGGCTACATGAAGACCTTCTGTGTCGGGGCGGTGTGGATCTCCATCATCTCCAGCTGCCAGCTGCTCTCCAGCTTCTACAGCTACCTCCGAGGTGACGCCTACCACACAACCAAGTTTGGTGTCCACAGCCTCTACTGGCTGGTGATGTCTTGGGAAGAGTTCATCCTCACTGCCTTCCTTGGGCTGCCCCGGGCTCAGGAGAGCAGGCTGGGAATGTTTGGAGGGTGGTTCTTCCTGGCCACCGCCTGCACGCTGTTCCTGATGTCCACCCACAAAGACACCCTGGAGACGCTGCAAAACGCCTCCTTCGTCATCCTCACCACGGCCTTCATCCATCAGATCCCACTGCCTGGCGCTCAGCCCCTCCTGGGCACCGCCTGCAGCCTCTGCACGGCCCTGTCCCTGTACGCCACCTTCGCCAGCCTCATCAACTCCATCGGGGAGAAGGCCCTGATCCCGGTGGGCGCCCAGGCCGTGTCCAGCTCGGCTCTCCAAACCGCGTTGGTGGCCCTCAAAGCCCTCCTCACGAGCACCAAGGAGCTCCCCGGCGGCACCGGCGCCGCCGTGCCCGACGCCTTGTTCTACATCTGCAACGGCCTGGCCGCGGCCTCTGCCATCCAGGGCGGCCTGGGGGACCCCGGCAGGCAGCAGCTCTCCATCCCCTCCGTGCTCATCCCGGGGGCCGTGGGGCAGCTCTACGTGTGCAGGATCCAGGCCTGGGGAGGGAGGAGGTTTGGCTCCGTCCTCCCGTTCTGCTACGCTGCCTTCTGGGCGGCCTGGGCGTGGCTGCGCCTGGCAGGTAACGCGTGGGCCGGGTGCCCGGGGGGCTCGGTCGCTAAAAAAGGGGATGTTTTTAGGGAATTCAGGTTGCTCGATTCCACGTAATTCCTTCTTTCTGACGGGAGAGTCAGTCCCGTCAGGTTCACCAGTTTTCCTCCTTGCGAAAGTGTAACGCCCAAACGTCCCAGCTTGCGCTTGCCGCAGGCACTTGGTACCCACAGCTGCAGGGGGCCAAGGAGTGTCTTCAACTCCAACAGAGGCCGAGATCTCCCTGCTAAAATATTGTGAGGCTGTCTCTGGGCTGTTATCTCACAATAATGCTTCAGGAGATGCTTTTTAGGCGGTGGAAGGCTCCAGGTTCCGGGTTTATCCTTTGGCAGCCTGGAGAAGTTTATCCCAGTTGGTGACAGCCATGAGAGAAGCTCTCAGAATGCTGAGCCCGGGCTCTGAGAGCTG